ATGATGTAGTTTGTAAATGATCCCAGAGAGGACACTGGGTTTGAATCTAGATGACCAATTGTTCCACAGTCTTCACTATTTACTGCTAGTCACTGTGACCTTACAACTAGACTCACTTAAAGTAAGAAGTTATGTTCACCTCCTAGTTACCTCCATGTGGGCTTATGCAAATCACTTAGACTCTCAAAGCCCAGATTTCTTGAATAAACCAACATAATAATAATATTTACATCATAAAACTGCTGCAGGTTAATATTTGTAAGATACTTAGAGTTTGGCACATATGAAACATAACTGTTTTAAAAACTATAAACAGTTAAGGAGTGGTACTCTAGTGATTACAAACTTTTATTGACACACCTGTGACACACAGGTTTCCTATAACTTTCAGTAGCTTTTATTCTTTTTTAAATCTAAGTTGTTATGCATATTAATGGCATATAGTAATATAAAACATAGAAATCAATTTTAATTGCTGACTAGTATTCCATGGTACTGAATGGGAGCGCCATAGTTCAAGTACTTAGCCAGGGAAGAGTACTTTGATTCTGGCTATTACAAATAGAGCTTCAGTGAATATCTGTGTGTAAATTTCTTTGCAGACATAAATTCTTATTTCTCTGGGATTAATTGTCCACAGTGCATTTGCAGGATCAAGTGGTAAGTTTGCTTAGGTTTTTTTTTTTATCTGAAGCACCATGATTTACTATATGTTGATGATAATGTTTCATGCATAAATGTTGATGATAAGTGTTCCAACACCACAACCTCCACCAGAGTATTCCCTTTCCTCCATCGCAGAGTTCCTCTTCTAACCACCACTGGTACCTTCCTCCTGCTCCAGCTAGCTTTTATTCTAAAAAGTAGATTGGAAATGAAACCAAAATTCTGAATTTAACTGTGAACATGAACAAAAATAACTAGTTTGTAATTTACTACTGAGTCTGTTATCTTCTGTTTTCTTTTTAATTTAATTTTTTCAATTTAATTTTTAATTTAATTAAAAAATTTTTTTGCATCCAGTCTCTTAAGTATTCTTTGTAGATGTGAGAAGAGCCAAAAAGAGTCCTCCCTCCTTCACATTTTTATTCATTTAACATAAGCTGGAGCGATAGCACAGCGGGTAGGGCATTCGCCTTACAAGCGGCCAACGTGGCCGACCCGAGTTCGATTCCTCCGCCCCTCTCGGAGAGCCCGGCAAGCTACCGAGAGTATTCGATATGCCAGACACAGTAACAACAAAGTCTCCAATGGAGACGTTACTGGGCCCGCTCGAGCAAATCGACGATCAAGATCAACGGGAGGGCCTTTACCTTTACCTTAGAAAACATGGTTTCAGGAGAACTATGCTAGGTCTGGGGACAGAGATGAGTAAACCACAATTCTGAATAGCATGCAATCTAGAAATAACTATACTCTTTGCTTTGTACATAAAAGAACATAAGAGATCTGTGGGTTCCATAATCAGATTTAAGAGGTATATTTGAGTTGAGTGTTCATTGTACCAGGCATCATGCTAGGCATGGGACGTTAGGTTAATTAGACAAGGTCCATGTTGCCATGTTGGGTGTGGCACTGGTGGTCATGGTGGGAGTTGTATGCAAATATCTGGACAATGTTCAGCCTGAAACGTAAGGTAAGTGGTGGAGATTCAGATAGATGTGTGGACAGGACAAGAAGTGCATAAAATCAACAGAAAGGCTCTAGTGTGAGTAAACCCTTAAGAAAGTAAGCTGTCTCCTTATAGTTCGTTCCATTAAAACCCAAATAAAAGTTTGTTTTCCTATTTTTCAAGACTTTGGGAGTGAAGGATACGATGAATCCTTATCAATAATGTTTTAATCTTGACCAAAAAGTCAAGAGTACTATATCTTCAAGTAAGTGGATTGATTCGCCTGCTTCCTTGCCTCTCCTCCCCCATTCGACTAAACATGGGAATTGGGTCTGAGGTCTGGATTGAGATTTAAACTGAAAACATGTCTAATCTTTGACTGGAAATGACCCATCTGCATATCCTTCTGCAACCCCAAAACTGTTTTATTCCTGGATTTAAGGACTCTGCCTTTGGTCAACTGCATTCTCTGGGGATGATGCCTCATGCATTTGGCCATAGTGGAATTTCAGTAAAGAAGTCAGGCATCTAGAGACTTGAACTTTTCCCCTTTGCTACTGCAAACACAGGATGGCTCAAAAAGCTCTGCCTTCCCAAGCGGGTGTGGATTTGATTTCTTATCTAGCCAACGGTCAATCCCTTGCATCTTCATTCAGTGTACAGACCCTTCTGCCTGCAGCAGGCTTGCTCCCTTATATACGGAATGACTGGATACCAACAAAACAGACACAGCTTTCTGGGTCAGAGGTTGGCTGGAGAAGGATCCTGGCTGCCAAGTATCTTGCAATGATGTCAGAGCCCAACACAGCTAGAAAATACTAGCCCGCTGGCCAGCAAAAGCCTCTCAAGGACAGAAAAACCACAGAGCGCAACTGCCAAAGCTACTCTTCCGCCCCTGCCCTTTCTTCTAATAGGAAGAACGGCAGGAAGAGAGTTCGTATTTTAAAAGATTCCCCCCTCCTCCTTTCTTGGTAACAAAGTGTTAACTAGCAAGGAAAAGATTCTCTGCTCTCTGGATGAATCCCACTAGAGGTTCCTTGGGGTGTCTTTTTTGAGTTCATTTTCAAGGCTGTCAGCGGAAGTTACAAATAGCTCTGAACAGGGTCTTTTTACTAAATGTAAACATGTAACTTTGTGTGAGCAGAAAAAGCAGGGAGGGAAGAAAATCCTTTCTGTGTCCCCTTCTCTCTTTCGTGGTAATTAACTAGACTCAAATGAAAATTAAAAGTTTGGTGGAAAAGCACTTTTCTTTCTGCTTCTTTAAATAGGGGCTTCATGGTTCATTCCAACCATCTAGAGCCCTCCGGTGATTCATAATTCAACTGGAAATTAATAAGACACAGCCCGTGCCTGGAAATGAAGTTTGGGTTTAAAATCCTCTTGTTTGGGAATATATGACATTATTTTCCTTTCACTTGTGACAGTCAATTTTAAATGATGTCACTTCAAGGACATTTTCATTTCTCCCACAACGTATTAGCGAAACACTTGCCTGTAAAACCGGCTCATTAGCCTGCAAAATTATACTGTACTGAATGGCTTTCATTCAAAGTAGAAATGGGATTTTTAGTAGGCAATTTCTGTATTTTAAAAAGATAAAGCAATGTTTGATTGCTTCTTCCCAGCTGTTTTGCTTAGTAGTTATAAAGAGAAATTGGGGACTTGGGGACGGGGTGGGGTGGGGAGACAAGGTAAGGTGGGGGTGGATTGATTAGGATGTCTTTAGAAAGAAAAAAAAAGATAAGTCTCAGACTAGAAAACTAAGGCATAACTTCACGAGCAACTGCGCCTTCAACTCCTCGGGGATGAACGATTTATCCTTCGGATGACAGGAGGAAGGCTCTGGGAAAGAAAGGAAAAAGTGAGGGCGCGAGGGAAAAAAAGAAGAAAGAAAGAAAGAAAGAAGAGGGAAAGAGGAGGAAGAGCTGCCTTGCAGGCTGCAGCAGCCTCCGGGAGCTGGACGGCTGAGGCGCTGGGAGTCGCTGGAAGAGGTGGGGAGAGGGGAGGGTGCGCAGCAGCGCGCCGGGAGGAGGGACGCGGAGGCCACCGTGGGGTCAGCGGGGCCGCGACGCCGGGGCGGGGGCCTCCAGGAGGCGCTGGCCGCCGCGCTCCAGTGAGGACCGCGCGCCCGGCCGCCCGCGCCTCCTGCCGTCGGCTCCCGGGGGTGTCTCCGCGCAGCGAGAGAAAGAGCAGAGCGAGGGAGAGAGAGTGAGAGAAAGAGAGAGGCGCGCGGGGCGGGAGCTCGGCTCGGGCTCGCCGATGGACTGACTCGAGATGGATCGAATTGCACCATTCGCCGAGCCCCGATTTGTTTTGCTCCAGCCCCGTCCCGCTGCTGCCGGCGCCGGAGGTGGCGAGTTTCAGGATCGCCTCCGGGAAGCCCAAACGTGAGGGGACGGCGGGGATGGACAGCTCGGTGTGATGTTTCTTTATCATCTTTCCCCTCCTTGTGCCTGACGGGCTGGGTGTTTTGGGTTTTTTTCTTTTTGCAAACAACCTTCCTCCCGCCTCCCCATGAGGTAAGACCTTCTCGTAAATATTTGCTAATGCTTGGGCGCCTGGGTGAGGCTCGGACCCCGGTCCCACCCAGCAGGAATCGCAGTATGAGTGTGTGTTTGTGTGTGTGCGTGTTGTCACTGGAGAGTAGATTTCTTTTCCTCGCAGCTCTCCGCCTCCTGTCGTGCAAGGGGACGTGCAGAAGGCTGGGGGGGTGCGAGGGCAGGGGGGACGGTCAAAACTGGCCGAGCCGGAGGCTTGGGGGGAGGGGCGCCCGGACTTGGAACCCTCGCCCCCAAGCCCACCACCCCTCGGCGCACCCTTTCGAGGGAGGTGAAGGTTTGGGATGGGGGGACGAATAAAAGTTTCCGCCTGGAAGCGGCCAGCTGCGCACTTCCCTGCACTCTGTCTCTGGGGACCCGGGGGGTGGCACGGGTGCGGGCCGCGGCCCCGAGAGCCTGTGCCGGAACCGAGCCGAGGCCGGAGGAGCTGGCGGCGCGCCCCGCCGCCTCCCGGCGCCTCGCCACCCCGAGTCGATCCCGGGACGGCCGGGCTGGGGGAAACGAGCAGAGAAGAGGCGACGGGGCAGCGGCCCAGACTACCTGTCACTGCGCCCGGGCTTCGCTGCCCGGGGGCGGGGGCGCAGGAGGGACGGGGGCGTGGGCCTCGGGGAGTCTGCCACTCCCCCCTCCACCTCCGGGCGCGGGCGCGGGGCAGCCGCTTCCCACCCTCCCTCCCCTGCTGGCCGAGCGCGCGCGGGCGGGCCCCGAGCCCCGAGCTGCCCACCGCCCACCCCCGCCTCCCACCAGGCGCCGGGTTCCTCCTCCCGCCACTCTCCCCCGCAACTTTCCGCGCTTTGTTCTCCGACTGGAAATGATTCACGGACGCGTCTTGGACAGGGTCTCCGCCAGGCGGCAAGAGCCCAGCGCCGAGATGCGTTACGTTCTCATCTGCCCATCAATTATGGATGGAAGCAAATAAGGACGAGTCAATTTTGCATGAGCCCCGTTTCCGGCGCCGAGCCGCGTCCTGCCACCCGGAGGGAGCCGCTGTGTGCCACGGCCGCCGCCGCCCGCAAGGGGCATGGTGCGGAGGAAGGTAGGGAAACTTATTCCCCGGCCTTGACAGCGATGGTGTTTGTTCCTGGTCTGCAGAGACTGATATGGCAGCCGCCGCCTTGGCTGATTTGGAAGGGCTCAAAGCTTCCTCCCTGGTGTGTCTCTTGGATTGAAATGAAAGGTCGTGAAGGACTTGGAGGTGTGGATGAGAACTGGGTTTGATTTCTGCTAAGCCGACTCTCTGGACCACTGCTGTCAGTGCGATGGCTTAAATCCTAAGTTTGGAATGATCAGAGTTGGAGTTAGGGGAGGATTGGCGTGGTGGTGTGTTAGTTACATCGTTAGAAGAACTCAGGGTACTACTCCCTGTGGCCAGTGGCCTCTTGGAAACCCAGGGTTCAGCGTCCCAACAACCCCTTACTGCTCTTACTAGGGTGATTGTCACATAGAAGAGACAGTAGGTCATTATCATAAAGAGACTTTGCAAACAGTAACTGGACCTTAAGATCACTGCTGTTGTCGGCTGTTTTCCCTCTAAAAACAATGGTAGTGTTTTTGGTTACTCTGGGAAAGAAATGTCTGGGGCAGTTTTCCCAAGAGCTCCTGGCTACTAAGAACTTTCAGTGTAAAAGAAAGTCTGTGTGCTTTTGAGGGAGTCCTTCATTTTGCTCAATATTTGTGACAATAAACTGGATTCTTTTGTTATTGTAAGACTGTAGTCTGGGCAAAAATGTTTCAACAGTTCTCTAAACTGATTTGGTCTCTGCCCCTCAAAATAGTCGACATGGTTGTTGGGAGAAATTTTCCAAGCTTCCTTCCTCAAAGAAATCAGAAATCTTACCAGGCTTTACTCTGCTTGTGGTGGTTGAAACAATAGGTGTGTGCGGTGGTACATTCATATTAAAAATCCCCTGGCTGTGTTAGGTCTCTAACACAGGGAGTTGAGTTGTGGGTAGTCATGTTTCATGTAGTGAGTGACAGGCATATTCTGTGAGACAGGCAAATAGTCTACAAACATTTACCCCGGCTTCTAGAAATAGAAATTGTCAGATAAGCGCTGAGATTTGAGCCTATCTTACTGCAAACTTAAACATCTTGAAGTAAATAAACTATAGTCCAGTCATAGCTGAGTTTTGTTTTTACTAGTTAGTCTCTAGAATATGCTCTCAGAAGGACGTTTATTTATTTGTTTGCCTGTTTATTAAAAATTTTTTTGGGGGGGCATGTCTGGGTGATGCTCAAGGGTTACTCCTGGTTCTGCACTCAGGAATTGCTCCTGGTGGTTTGGGGAACCATATGGGATGCTGAGGACCGAACCCAGATCACCGGTGCATCTCCTATCCATTGTACCATTGCTCCAACCTCACATTAAATAAGCTTAAAATGTCCAAAATGTCTTGCTTTACTGTCCATTATTTTCCATGGACACATTTGATAAGATTAAGAATGCTCTGCTGCCATTTCTGATTAGTATCTACAGAATATTATACCTGTCCTCATTCCTTATTTCTACTCAAGAAGCTATGTAAATAACTTTCCTCTTTTTTGAGAAACAGTTCAATGATGCAAGGGAGTGTATCAGGAATATTGTAAATTTGCCATCGCCAAACCGTTGGTTAACTGGAGGTTGATTTAGGTTTGTGGGCATTCTGCCCACTTTCATTTATTTCTGGGGTTGAGGGTCCTCTAATGGCACCATCTGGTCATGTCTGCCCTGGTTTGATAGATTTGAATGATGACAGTGACGTAAACGTATTAGTCTGAGAGTGAGGGCAACTTAGAGATCCTGGTGGCCTCCGCTCCCTGGGGGCTGACTGTGCAGGAAGGATCTGTCCATTAACTGTGTTCTGGGTAAGTGCGCCCCTGAATGCTGTGTTGTGGTGGATTCTCTTCCTTGAAAAGCACCAAGTGAGCAGGAATCAGAAGTTTAATTCACAAAGATGCCTATAAGTGTTCAGGACTTACTGGAGTTCTTCCCTTCTTGCTGCTCCATCATAATGAGCCGTGGTAATTAGCTTAGTCATTGTTCTTGAATGTGAGTTTTACTAAGATACAAAGAGTGAAAAATGCCTCTGAAATAGGGTCATTTTTCACCCTTCTGATGCATTTTATGCAGAGTTAAAAGCCTGGCTGAATGCCTAACTATCATTGGTGTAACCATATGAGTTTAAATCCATCCCCAGCATATTGAGGATAAAATAATTATCTTTTATTTCCATTAATAGACAGTAACTCTGCATCTTCTAGACTCATTTCTGGAGAAAGCAAGAAGTAACTGGATGGTGGCCTCCAGTCAGTATTCACTGAGGATCTGTCATTGCAAGGAGCTCTGGAAGCCTGTGTGGGAAGGCCAAGTGAGGCCATGTTGCTGTATTTACAATGAGAGAGAGAGAGAGAGAGAGAGAGAGAGAGAGAGAGAGAGAGAACCAACTCAAGAGAGAGAGTGACAAAAACAGTTCACTTGCCAAGAAACATAAAATTTATTAAAAGTGTACATTTGTGTACAAGTGAAGCATGTTGTTTTATCCTAGAGAATTTATGGCAAGGTTATCCGTTTATTTACAGTCGTCCATCTTCCTGCCTCTAGTTCAAATTCAAATAACGTGATATTGAGGGCCAGAAAGGTAAGGGTTAAGGTGCTTGCTTTGCATGCAGTCGACCCCTATTTAATTCTTGGCACCATATATAGTCCTCAGCACAAAGCCACTAGTATCTCCTGAGCAATACAGTGTTTCCACCCTCACATATCACGGTCATGGTCCTCCTGTTGTTCATAGATTTGCTCGAGTGGGCCCAGTAACGAACGTCTCCATCATGAGACTTGTTACTGTGTTTTGGCATATCGAGTATGTCATGGGTAGCTTGCCAGGCTCTGCCCTGCGGGCAAGATACTCTCGGTAGCTTGCCGGGCTCTCTGAGAGGGGCGGAGGAATCGAACCCAAGTCGGCCATGTTGGCTGCGTGCAAGGCAAATGCCCTACCGCTGTGCTATTGCTCCAGCCCACCCTCACATATAAATTAAAAAAAAAAATTATCTTGTTGAAATGATTATAAAAGAACGAACTCTCACTTTTTGTGGTCCTTGAGAATAGAGATACAGAGTTGAAATCTATCAAAGCCCGTGTCCAGTGTTGCCCACCACTTTGTGAACAGCTGCTTACTTCCAGTTGGGAAAAATGTGTGTTTTGACCTATTCCCATGACACCTGGAGAGAATAGAAATCAAATAACTCTTAAGTCTATCATTACACGTTTCAGTTGTCATGGCTGGTGTCGGCCAGTTTTCCTTGTCAGCCCTGGCCACAGTGGTAGTGCAGCTGATCCTTGAAGCTGCTGACATTCATTCCAACAGGAAAATTAGGAAACGTTCTTATTTTTTTAAAAAATAAGTGTCTCTGTAACCCAGGATGATCAAATCAGTGGTCCACATAGATCCCAGATGAGTTGTACTTATTTCTCAAACTTCTCTTTTTTATTCAGCTTTTGTTAACTCACCCAGATTAGCATTTTAACAACCCTGAAGTGAACTTCTACCATTCTCTCTACTTGGACTCCTCATGTACATCATCCATCATCCTGTCCTTGGCTCCAACAGGCTGCTGGCTCCATCACCATTTGGAGCTACACAGAATCCAGCCGACTGTGAACAGCACAGCTGGCTACAGCGATTTTTTTTTTTCTTCCACACCACTGGCAGCATTGTCTGGCTGTGGTAACTAAAGTTAACACCCAGAACGGGAAGTTTCTATTGTTTGACAACCTGTATTAGTCACCTCATACTGGTTTTGTGGGACTCGCCTACAGAATAGCCCTTCTGGCTAGCCATGGGCTGGTCCATTTCATAGAGGAGTGACCCCAACCTTAGACCCTCCCCCACTTAAAAAAAAGAGCCTTTTTAAGTATGATACAGTGAAACCATGGAAATCCCAGAACTGGGAAGTACCTTTCAGGTTCCACTCATCCTAGACATGAAGAATTTAGTTTGTTTGAAAAAGGTAAGAAAGGAATGAAGGAGCAATTAGCCGGTAGTTCCAAATGACTGAAAATCACTGACGGAAACTTGCTGGGGCTCATGTGAAAACTCTCCAAGTTGTCCTCAATCTTTTGCATGGATAGACCAAAATTTGGGTCTAACTTTTGCCAAAGGTTTGCTCTATACAAGTAGGTGACCTGAGTTAGGTGGGTAGATTTGTTAGGTCGTGTTGCCTCGCTTTACATTAGAAGTGCAGCTTTACCACTTTGATCTGGCTGGGGAAACAGTCTCTCCTGTGTGGTACACGATCCTCTTCTTACTTCTTTCCCTAACATTTACTAATGAAATCAGCCACAGAACATCTGGGTCAATAGAAAGATGGCAGCAACAGGAAGGGGGGGGGGGGGGGGAAACAATGAGCATGATATCTAAGGCTACTTTGCAAACTGCTTTCTAAATCTAGATGCCACACCAAGACCTGCGGCTTCATTTGATCCTGTAACCCTCAAAAGGCTGCATGAACATGGGCTGTTTATTATACTGTTTTATCAATAAAAAGGAAAAAACGTAGGCTCGAAAAGTCATTTTTGTGACAGTCACAAGGTGGTAAAGACAGGATTTGAATTCTGGTCTGCCTGGCAATAACAGCTTATCTTTTTATAACTGCCCCAAATTGGTTCCAAGGGTATAGGCTGTCCAGCAACTTTCCAACTCCCTGATAGCTCTGGCATTTGTTTTGTGATAAACGAATCTTATTTTAAAGGAAAATTTTTGCTGAATGAAATAATATGAATAGTCTGGATAGGTTCTTATTTAAGTTTCCTCTAAACCAAATCACATTGCTATGCTTTTGTGCTCATCCTTTATTGTTTTTTGCTGTTTTTGGCGTGTGTGTGTGTATTTGTTTGTTTGTTTGTTTGTTTTATGGTGTTTGGGCCACGCCCTTGCAATGCTCAGGGGTTACTCCTGGCTGTGCACTCTGGCATTGCTACAGGGACCATACAGGATGCAGGATATTGAACCAAGTTCAGCCAAGTGCAGGTATAGCGCCCACTGTACTATCTTTCCA